TGCTGCTGTTGCTACCGCCGCTTGCAAGGCTGCCGCCCCTTGCTCGGATGCACTGGCTGAGCAGCGCTGCACAGATGGGCGCACCCCGGGCCTGACCGGGGAGCAGTCGGGCAAGTGAACTCCCGCCTCCACATTGGCCCAGCTCCTGGCGGCAGCGGCGTCTGCAGCCTCGCGGAGCGGGCAGCCCCCTTGGTCTCCTCGCGGCTGCTGCGCGCCGCCTCTGCCCTTTGCATAGTAATTTCAGCTCCTGAACGCACCGAGCTCGCTCCGGGACCGGACTGCGAAGCGCGCAGCTCGCGGGCCCGCGGGAGCCAGCCGAGCGGCCGGGGCTTGGGATATGCGACGGGAAGCCCCCGCCACCGCGCAGGCAGTGACCCCGCCGCGCCAGGGAGAGCCGGGCCAGAGCAGGTAGGCGACCGCGGTCGCGGGAGGAGACGCCCCCCGCGCCACCTCCGCTCGGCGGGCCACACCGGGGGATCGCGGCGTCCGGTGTGCTCCGCAGGGACAGGGGAGAGATTTGGTCCCGCATTTTGCCCGGGGAATCTTTGCCTGTTGCTTGTGTCCCCTGTCCCATCCTGCGCTCCAGGAGGGCCGTCTACCTCGCAGGTGATGAATTTCTCTGCAAGGTCATTGCTCCCTTAGGCTCTGGCTTTAAAGGTAAATGGGAGAAGACGTCCGCTGTTCTTGGGCGGGGGAATTTATAATCACTCGGGTCTGCACACTGCGAATATCCGAATAGAGGAGTGTGTGTGTGAGAGAGTGAGTGAGAGAGAGAAAGAGAGAGAGAGAGAGAGAGAGAGAGAGAAAGAGAGAGAGAGAGAGAGACAGTCATTTCCCTCGACTACCCATCCTTATTGTCTTTAGGATCAAAACGCTCTGGTCACATATAATATATATGCACTTATACACACACACACACACACAAACACACGTTTACATATATAATTTTTCTCGAGGGAGGCAGAGAGAGAAGAGGAAGGGCGGGCAGAGGTTGATAAAGGGAAGTCATTGTAGAGACCTGTTTAGTAATACAGGTGAACTTTGGAACCACGTTAAATCAGGGTAGAGAGTGGAGATGATAAACTTATGGTCCTATAGAGATACATGTTAGAAAAGGTCTCAAGAAGATTGTCAACCGATACACAGGGCAGACCTTCATGCTGTCCAGGAAGATAGAAAAGATGTAGGTGACATTTCAGACACAACAATGGACAGTGGGGGGGGGGGGAAGGAGGGGGGCTTAACAAACACTGGAAAGTGAATTTGGGGCTGTGGGAAGGCAGCAAATCCAGCTCAGGTTTCAAGGACCTTCTGGGGAGGCATTGGGAGAAATCACTGCTTGAGGTGAAGGCAGTTCAAGGTTAAGGTGATGTGAGTATCCAGACAGCAGCAGAAGAGGTGGGCAAAAAGCAAGGGCCCAGAGGGACAGGGCAGAAACGGAGCTCTGAGTAGTCACTCAAGAAGCAGCCACCTTCTAGTAAGGTGTAAGGTGTCCTTTGCCTCCTCTTAAAGCAACACTTGGACATGCTCCATCTAGATATTTTTCACAACACGTTTGTTAAAGGTCCATTGGACCATGTTTTCATTTTTTTTTTGCGGAATCTGGATCATGATAGGACTGGAAGAAACTGAGGTGTTTACAACACCAGCAAGATTTGGGGGAGAGAGTTGATTAAGGCTTGGCTTCATGAAATATTTACACATCTCCTGCGTGGGCTTTTGTTTGCATTTGTTGGTGCTGCTGCATATTTTGCTTTGATAATGCTTTGAGTGTCTTCTTCCGAATGTGCTTATTTTCCAGTTATAAACTATTCTTTCTTTCCCCATTGTGTTCTCCATTGGCCTGCCCTGAGTATCAATTGTGGGAATAAAGATACATGAGTCACAGCACAAAGAAGAAAATCTTCTCTGTTGCTATCTACAAAAGGCAGGAATTTGCAGTAGAGAATATTCCTTTGAAATAGAAACATGAAGAACATAGTTTTTTTGGTGTGTTTAGTTTTTTTCAAGGTTTTTTTTTTGTATGCTTAATGAAGAGAATAGGTTGTCGATTCATAAACAAAAAAAAAGTCGTAATTACTATTGCAGGTTGAGATGTTATATCATTCGAATCTATTTTGGAAACAGCAGGGGAACTCATGGAGAGTCATGTACAGTGTGTTTGGGGTGGTGAGAATTTACCTAATCACTAACTAGACATTCATGAAAATGTTGGAGCAAAATTGCAAGTACATCAGCTTCATATGGGAGGTGAAGGCTGAAGCATTACATGAATCACATCAGTGTCAATTGGAGGGCAGGCCGGGTTCCAGCAAACTGTTTTGAAATTTGAGTGTTTTAACTGCCTCCAAAGAATTGCCCAATATGCTTAATTATTTGTTCCTGCAACATTTTCTTAATTATGCCTCAAACATACTTAAAGACTATATTTAGATCCAGTCATGCTTCACTGTTTGAATTTCCAGTCACAAAATCTGCAGCCTACAGGAGGCACTGAAATATTGGTCATGAAATCACAAAATCATAAAACATTGACCTCAGAGAGTGAGGACACACGATTCTTATTCCAGCTCACACTTAAGCTATATCAGTGGCAGGTGCTTCTGCCACTTATACACTTTTTCATTCATTCATTTATTTATCCACTTGTTCATTCATGCAGTCAACATATATGTATCCTGAACTAGACATGGTCCTAGATTATGAAATGAAAGAATGAGCCTGCAAAACTTGGGAGGGAGATCGCTATGACTGGGAATGGTAGAAGCAGATATGGAGGTGAAAAGGACAAAGAATGTTGTTCACTTGCCCACAGTCCTGAAGGATGTGAGAAACTATCCTGTGAGGATGAGCGGGAAGGGCATCCCAGGTATAGGAATCAAAATAGGGCCAGGCTCGGTGGCTCAGCCTGTAATCCCGTGATTTGGGAGGCTGAGGTGAGTGGATTGCCTGAGCCT